CGCTGTTCGGAGAACTGTTGAAATGATAATCCCTTTAGGAGACGAAACTAACTTATAATCGCCAGCCTACTGGCCATTGAGCGAAGTGCGGTATTTCTAGCTGCATAGCTGGGCAAGCCAGATTGTGAATTACAACTAATCCATAAATACAGTATATTACTAAACACGGCTCGGCTCGACTCGGCTCAGCTCGGCTCGTCTCCTACACGACTGCAAAAAAATTTTTTTTCGGAAGGCAGGTAAGGTTGCTTCATGATGGATGGCGGTAATTTGAATGTGGTGCCAACTTAAGTTAGAAAAAGTAGAAGGGAAGGATTTTTATGACTTTTCAGATCACGCATATGTGATGTGTAACGTATAGGGTAGGCGCATTTTACAGCCCCTTGAGGTCCTCTATACCTCCTACCTTGGCTACGCCCACATTCTTCCCGCATATAAGTCCAGCACCGTTACCAGAGATGACAGAAGGCTTCCCAAGCACCAACTACCACCAGTCGAGCCAAGCCAAGCCGAGTTGTAGTTTTTGCTGCTTCAGACGCTGAAGTAAACTTCATGTATCAGCAGCTGGTGCTTACGAAAAGAAAAGACCAATTTCGTGGCCTCTGAAGAGGCGACAAACGTATATAGTAGCTGTGATGGATATTTACTGTACGTATGTAGTCGGGAGGGTTTGGCATATGAAACAGTTATGCGTTTTGTTTTAACTTTTGGCTCCGATCTGCAAAAAAGCGCATTTTAAAAATATTGTCAAGTTTCTTAAGAATGCAGGGAATTGAACCGGTGCATGGAATAAAATCCTTTGTTGAACCGAATTGAAAAGGTTGAAAAAATGTTGAAAACGAATTGAAAAACAGTGGAATAAGAAATTCCTATGAACGCAAGTTTCTTAAGAATTCGTTATGTCGTGTGTTTTGTTTTAGCTTAAAGAATTTTCGTTGTTATGTTTTGACAAATTTCTCAGATTCCTCAAATTTTCAAGCTCGTCCTTATTTTTAGGAATCCCTACTGGAAAGAACAAAATATCTAGGCAAAAGAATCAAAGAACTTATTGTTTTACCGATTTATGCCAATCTTCCTTCCGATTTGCAAGCCAGAATCTTTGATCCAACGCCACCAAACGCCCGGAAAGTATGTTTTCAATTTTACGGAAATTTCACTCATTTCTTTTTCCAGACATTTTTCCATTTTGATTCAGCAGTGGATATTGCGATCATGCTTTTTATGCA